TTTTTGGAACTTTTACTCAGTTGAGCACATAACACTCCAGGATTGGGTCTGTCAATTAATGTCCTCCCCATCTCAGACTTCCAGTTTTCTTGTTCTTTTCCTTCCCTGGGATGGAGACTTCCAACAACCATTCATTCCCAAGCAGGCTATGGGATATCCTGATCTCACTACAAGACCCCCTTTAAGCAGGAGAGCATGGATGGCAGGCAGAATCCAACAGGTCCATTGGCAAGTAGAGTTCTCACACCACATCCAGTCCATGTTAGGAGCTACTCCTGCTTCACTGCCACTCTGCCTGTGCTGGAGGACTGGGTCCCATCACCCACCTGCCACAGGCCCACCTCCCCTCAGGTGGCTCGCAAGGCCTGAGCACATGGGAAACATTGCTACTGTACAAGAAGAATTTAACTATTACCACTTCAAACCAAAACCTACACTGCACAACCCAATACCAACTACCCGCATGAGCCCCTTAATATACCAATTGAATTTCTATTATTCCCACGTGAGAATGTGGCTCTCACCCGTTCACCAATTATTCAATTATTCAATTAACGCACCACAGTCGCCAAAGTCTCTATGTACAGAAATAGAAGTGTCCGATATATTATTTACTAACAACAAAAACATTTCAGAAACCTCTGCTGTTTTAACATTTAATCAACTGCAGGATTTCTCCCAGCTTCTTCAGGAAAAAATCCTATCCAAATCACAGTCCTAGATCCTCTGTGTAAAAAACCATCTCCTGCTCATTCTTATATTCACTTTTATCCAATTTAATGCGTCTCATGTTTCACAGTTGATCCTGAAGAAGCTTTCTGGATATGAACTTTGTCAATACCTTTTTCAGAATTTTGAATACTTGACCAAGTCCTCTGGTACTCCTCTCTATTCATGATTGAAGTGATTCAATTCCTTTAACCTGTTTGTGTGGGATATCTTACACCTGGGATCTAATCTTACTTCTTCAAGACAATTCCAGAGTACCAATATCTTTCTGGGAACATGGATGTATCTAGACACCTGATACTAACTGTATTCTTAGAGTGTCTTCAGGGATAATTAA